GAGACGGGGTCTCGCTCTTGCTCAGGCTGGTCTCAAACTCTTGACCTTGAGCAATCCACCCACCTCGGCCTCCCAGAGTGCTAGGATTACAGGCGTGAGCCACCACACCAGGCCATAGGCTGGATTCTTAAGCAATCCTTGCCATTAGTAGTCCGTTGGTTCATTATTTTCTTTGTTCTAAGAGCTTTGTAATTTTTAAACAATAAAGCTTGGGAATATTAAAATTACCAAGTACCCACAAAATTATTTTTCTGAAAACTCCTTATCATACCACCAATTCTAATACCATTTAAGAACTCACCAGCATTCAGAAGATCCATGTCACTACTAGAAGAATAGTCTTCACTCATTTCATTATACTCTATAAATTCATCACTCTGGAATAAGACAGATATTTAGAATGAAAAACAAAAATGTTCTAATTTTATATTCTTACTGCCCAGGCTAAAATATAAAGATGGTATGATAAATGTTTAAATACTTTAAATTATTTTTTAGTTTTTTAATTATAAAGCAATATATGTATACTATATATTCCTATGAATAAGAAATAATCTTTTAAATGTGGAAGCAGATAGCAAACTTCTTAAATCTACCAACTTCACTCTCTAGGAAGGAAAGATAGACCAGAAATTGAAATCCTGAGTAAAAAAACCAGATTTCTCAGATTTGATAAGACAATGGCCGATGTGGTAACTATTTCTATGAAGTTCATATTATGATTGAAATAAATCAGTTAAAAAAAGAAAGGAAGGGTTATAATTTTAATTTTTTCTTTATTGATTTTTCTTTTTCTTTACCGTGTGAAAATAGACCATTTGTACTATTAAAAGATATAAAATAATTTCAAGCTGTTCATAAATGAAGTCAATCATATTCTTACCTTATTTTAATTACTTCAAGTATTATTCATAGCTCTAAAAGCTCAACGTACAGCTTTTTCAGATTATCTCATTTCATGGTGAGAAAAACAACAGCACAGCAACAACAAAATGGGCTATATTTTAATAAGACTTCATTCTAACTAAACGTCTTCCCATTACCTAAATATTCTTGAATTTAGCATTTCCAAAAAAGCACATACATAACAATAAAATAAATACTTTATTCTATCTGATATATTCTATAAATGCAAAGAAAAGTAAATACCTTTTTAGACAGGAGTATTTCCGTTTCAAGAAGAGTGACACGACTTAGAAGATTAGTCCAGGTCTTTTCATTTACCAACACTTTTCCTTTCATTTTTTCTTCCAAGCATTCTAACCTTTTCTCTATCCGAGTCAGTTTTTTAAGCTTTTCTTGGCATTCAGCAAGCATAGTCTGTAGTGCAGTAATCTCAGGATTAACTTTTATATCCTAAAATGATTAGAAAGATTTAAAATAGTATACAAATTGAAATTCCTTTAAAACCAAAGTATTCCCATTTCCACTGTGTTATTTCCACAGTTAGGAGAGGCAGTACAATGTGGGAGTGAAGAGTGCTGTCTCTGGAGGCAGACTACCGAGACACTGAAACTAGTTCATCTGGATTTATGACCACCTAAAAAAAATGTACAGATAATATTAGCCCCTACTTTTTATGATGCTTGTGATGAGTAAATGAATTAATTTGCATAACTTTCTTAAACAATACTAAGTAGTAAAATAAAACTGTCATTAACGAGCGTCTTGGAATAACACCTAGCACAAAGCTAAGAGGAAATGACAAAACGACAGTGCATTGAGATTGCTCGGTTTGCCATATAACAGGAAATAATTCCTATGGCCATCTGGTAGTTTTTATAAGTGCCAACTGAATACTGATATACTGAGATGTATAGAAGTCACAAGACACAGAAAGATAAAAAAAACGTTTTTAGCAGAAACAGTAGACGGTCTGTAGCAAGAGCAATAGAAATGGTATTACAAGAGGGACAGAAAAGGACAAGGACCCAGAAAGGAAAATGACAAGGCAATGAAGTGTCAATCTTTTCCATTCACCAATACAGGAAAAGATGATAGAGAACCTCCGCTGCACAAAGCAGTGTGTCTCTTGAAGTCAAGTACCATGTCTTATCCTTCTTCGCATTACCCATAACACTTGGCCCAATACTGTAAACATAAGCAGAAAATATCTGTTGAATTATATACAGTAAGACATATTGATTCTTACATAATGATAGCATAGGTAATATGTTCAAAAGGTAATAATTCAAAAGGCCAGAAGTATCCTGAAGTTTAGAAGCTGAAATAATCATACACATCAAAGTAAGAAATATTGGTGTCTATTAAAGAAGTCTAAAATTCTTACTTGCTGCTCAGCCTTGATTTCGGGGACCTTTACTTCAGGTATCTTTATTTCAGTAGCCTGTAAGGCAGACACAGCAACTGCTTCACTAACTTCTGTTACAGTACTTATCA